CATTAAAATTAGAGGACTTGATGTTAATGTTAATATCAATTGTTGTCAAGAATTCATCAATAGTCTTTCTGGTTGATGAGCAAGAAGGACAAGGGGATTCCCCTTGTTTGAAAATAAAGAAGCTCTTTATGCTTCATAGAAATGTATTTGTTCTAATTCTATAAGGATATTTTTAATTTTTTAAGGATAAATTAAAGATAAACTAATTTAGACCATTTTTGCTACATTTATTATTCTTTAACCTAAGTGTGCAATTTACATTCTAAATGACATGTTTGCAGCATTGTATATTATTATATTAGCATATGCACTGTTATTTTCAGTTATGACAATACATTATTTAAGTGCATCTTTATATTTTAATTCTGATTTACAGGTAGTTCCAAGTGATCCATCAGCCTTAAAAATCAAGCCAGCTGCATTAAACTCAATGTATCCTTCCACTACCTCTTTTCTGGTCGAGCTACTCGATTTTAATGTCTTATGGAAAATTGATGCATTATCTTTGCATGTTGATATTAGCTGCCCATCCACCAAACAACAAGTAAAAGTCCCTATTAGGATTAAAAGACTTGAAGTACCGTTAGATGGCAGTAAGTTTTATAACAAAGGATTAATGATTATAAGTACTTTTTCACCTACTTCTTGGGTTTTATTATTCCAATTTTTTTTTATAGGTGGCTACTGCCTGCCATCTCCAGTTCCCCCTGTGTCCGAAATTTGGTATGATTGGTATTTCATTCTGAAGATAACCACAGCTGTTGTATTTATCTTTCTAATTTCTTATGGTAAGCTATTTTGTTTATAGGGATGATAAATGCCTGCAATGGTTTTCTGACAGTTACAAGTATTTGTACACCCAGTAATATGAATTTGTACACCCAGTAATATGAACTCGAATGAGGGGACCAATATCACATATTATGATATTGGTCCCCTTTTGCATTGATGAGAGCTTGCACATGTCTGGAAAGAGTTCTGGTCCCCTTTTGCATTGATGAGAGCTTGCACATGTCTAGGGGGAGTTTTGGTCCCCTTTTGCATTGATGAGAGCTTGCACATGTCTGGGGAGAGTTTTGGTCCTCTTTTGCNGCTTGCACATGTCTGGGGAGAGTTTCTAACAGCTTTTGAATGGGGGGAGGGGATAGAAATTGACTTGCAGGTGTCCATCTTGAAGTGAATGTTCACAGTGAAGATAGTCCTTTTGGCTGACTGGGTAATTTGCAT